CTGTTGTTCAGCATCTTAGCTGTGGAGGGCAGTGTCACTGGCCCTCATATGTGGGATCCGAACTGGGGCCCTCTGGCGTCCCAAGCCAGCTCTTAACCATTGCGCCACTCGGCCGGACCAGAACTTTGTTTTTTAAGGCAGAAGGTGGTGATGGTGGTAGAGGGAGTTCAATGCTTAACTGGTTAAAGATAAATATATTCAAGTATTTAATAAAGTATTTAGCATATTTATTACATATAGTACTATAACACTATAGTAAATGTGAAATACTTTACTACATAGTATTTATTTAGTATATAGTATTTACTACACACTAAAGTATTTATTAAAATATTTAGTAAAGGATCAGGAATGAAGTTGAGATTAGACTATTTAAATCAGGAAGTTAAGCAATCGCTTTAGTAGGAAGGCCTTGTTGTCAGGGGAACAGAGCATGAACCTTTGCCTGTGTGCACAAGGCAGGCAGGCACAGGAAGCCTGTGTTCTGGTTACTCTCCTCTGTAAGATGGATCTGAGCATCCTATGGGCCGCACACTGAGTAAGGTCCTCCACAGCACTCTGTGTCCCCAACCTTGTTCCCTTCTCTGCCTGCTCATTGGCTTACAGCTCTCTTCCAATCTGCCCCTCTGCCCACTCTGCCTGACCTGTCAATTCTGTTGCTATAAAGTACAAGTGGATGGAATGGTCATTCAATACTGGTGGTGAAAACTGGCTTAGATAGAAAATCTAATTGAGCTGGTCAATGAAATAAATTCAAAATCAGGCATCTTTCATGGTTTCTGGGTCCACTGAAAGTGTTCCTAGACTGTCACCCACTCACCTCCTCTTTTTCCTGTTTTTTAATTTTATTTCTGTTAATGGGCAAAGAGAAAGAAGAAAAGGAACTATATATTATTACATATTATTTCTAGACTTTCAATTGGCAGCGAGTCATGGTGACATTTACAAGTTTCTCTGAACGAGGTACTGTTTGATCGTGTGTCATCAGAACCTATGTCACCTGGAGGTTTGAGGGACTAGATCTGAAGGAGAAGGAGTAGCTTCTTGTCAAGCTTTCATTATGGAAATTATGCATGTACCCGAACAGAAAAATAACCCTTGAAGTCTGCTGGATATACAACTTTAAACACATTCTTTCAAAGCTGGCAGAGCCAGGGGTCTCTCCACACTGGGAGAGAGCAATGAGCTGGGGGCGCCACTATGGGAGGTGGCCCTGGGGAGGGCAGCGAGGTAGACAGGAATCATACCCCCTGGCAGCCAGCAGGGTGGCTTCAGTAAAGGAGGACTCCCCCAAGGGGCTGCTCTGAGGTCATCAACCCCAAGGGCAGGCTCCAGACAAAGCCGCCTTCTACTAAAAGGAGGTTTCATCCAGTCAAGGTCACGAGGGTGCTCTACTTCCGTGTTAGTAACAAGGAAGCAAAGTGAGGCTTCCGAGGCCCTCTTGGCACCATTCAGGGTCAAAACTGTAGATCGCTGAGTGGTTATCAGCAGGCATCAGGAGAGGAAAAATTATCTTTGTTGGCAAAAGATAATATAAGTCATTTCTGATTTCAAAGGAATAAATAGAAAGTGATTAAAAATATCAGCCCCCCTTGAGAAGAAAAATGTTAGACCTCCACACATTCTCTTCTTATTCTAGAGTCAACTTGAGAGACTTCCAAGAAGCTGTTTTTAGGCTTCGAACCTCTGCAGCCTTGCTCTTGCATATTCTTTATTCCTCCAAGCTCCGTGTTATTACTAAAAGAAAGCTTTCTTCCATGTGTCAGCAAGGACTGGTGAAGGCTGTTCAGAAACCACGACTCTACCCTCCCTGTCTGTTCTCCTCCCAGGGAAAGGGCTGCTAGCCATGAGCCTCAGGACTGGATGCCCTGGGCCTATTCCCACACATGTGAACCACAGCTCTGGGCTGTCAGGGCTTCTCGAACATGGATGCTCCAAAACAAGAAACATGAAAACTCACCTGCTGTACCCGCTCCTGCAGTTCCCCATGAAAGGGCTTCCTCACGGCCTTCTGGGGTCTGCTAACCATGCTCGGAAGCTCTGCGGAACCGCAGCCCCAGTGGGTTCTGGAGGACTCCAGACTGGGCAAGATGGAAGCGGCTCCGGCTCTGCCCCTAATATCACCCTGTGTACCTTAACCTTTACCTTAGGGTTTGGTCTGGGAAATGTGCCATTACTTCTGGGGAGCTAAGCAAAGTGAAAGCAAGTTGGATTAACTCTTTGAGGACCAGGGAAGCACAACGTCCATCCCATATAAATACCAGTTTTCATAAGCACATTTGCAGAAAGTGCACTGGCATATTAAATTACAAATTACAATCACTGTCAATTATAAACAACTATACAAAAAGAGCTGATGCAAGTAAAGCCACATGGATTTGCAAATGGATGCTGAGATGTTTAATCTGCATTTACAGTGATGGCAGTGTCTAAAAAGGAAGAGTTTTAAAAAATTCTATGTAATGTCATGTCTTGATGCTTGAGGGAAGAATAGCTCTTTGTGTGACTGAAATGGTAAAAAAAAAAAAAGAGTGGGGAAAGGGAGAGGTTTTGAGAGTTCAAGCTTAGATGTGGAAACATGCTGAGACTAAAAAATGAAAAGAAATCGAGAACAGCATCAGAGAAGGTTGACTTAGTCACTGTGTGTAAATAGACAAATAGTCCAGAAAGAAAGAAGTAAAATCCTACAATCCGTTTACCTTAGGCATATTAATTTTACAAGGGAATATAATCTTTGATCATTGATTTTTTAATGTCTCATATTCAGATATAAAATCACTCCCCACCTCCCAATAAATGATACTTCCCCAATACAGGCTTTATCTCCTATCAAAGCGGTTCACCAACACTTCACGGGGAAATGTTTAATGTAATGAAAAACACACCGAAGTGGGAATCAGGAAAGTCAGGTTCTGTCCCCGTTACTCTGACCTACAACTAGATGACAGTATCAAAAAGGAAATAACAGAGAAAATGAAAATTATCCCATTGCATCCATGAGATGCAATGTCTTTAAAATGAAGTTACAAGAAATGTACTAGAAATTATGACACATTGTATTTTAGCATGTCTTGAAATAGCAAATAATGATGAGGGTAACTGGATTTTTTTCAGGCTAAGTACAATCTGATGCTTGTCACTATGAAGCTTACTGCTAACTGAGAGATGGCCCATGAGAGGAAGTTATGCCTTTTCTATTTCTGGCGCTGAAATGCATGTTGAAACAGCCCCTCGTTTTCTGACACAGTGTAGTGTCTGCAGTAACTATAGCACTAAACTCGTCAGGCCCGGCCAAACCCTGACAGCCTGTGCTTGGCTGGACTCTGAGCATTTGTTCTACTTCCACAATGGAAGACAACAGTTTTACCTGTGCCTCAAACTCTCCCACAAACTTTTCATTAATGATCAGTTTTTAATTGAGGTCTGGCTTGATTGACCTGACACTTAAAAAAAATCACATTATAATCTTCACAAACACACCACATTTTCTGAACCTGGAGAATGAACTGAAGGTGTTCACAGGCAATGGTAACACCATTTCCGCTTCATCTCAAAGGCATCCCTTGGCAAAGCCTATTTCATCACTCTGCAACATTCACATGTAATTCAAAGCTGCAGAAGCAGTCTCCTGCAGGAAGCCCACATGGCTTATCTGGGTTGCAGAAGTAAACATGACACCATCAAATGAAATAATCCCCCCTTTTTTTTTTCCCTGGCAAATTCTTTCAAGGCAGATTTTTGTAAAAATTCTGTTAAGTGTCTAAGTGTACTTTTTAAAATGGCAAATCAGATTTCACATTAGAACAGATTAAATGCCTTATGTACCCTAGTATTTCCACAATTTCAGTTCAACTTTATCTTTGAATTCAACCAACTTCATTCAGTTTCAGAAGGGGTAGTAAATGAAATCAGGCTTCTACAGAGACCATCTGCCTCTTGGGGTAAATGGTATTCTGAATTCCCATTTGCTGGCTCTCTTCAGAAGCCATATCTGGGGCCGGCCGAGTGGCGCGATGGTTAAGAACTGGCTTGGGACGCCAGAGGGCCCCGGTTCGGATCCCACATATGAGGTCTAGTGACACTGCCCTCTACAGCTAAGATGCTGAACAACAGCTCAACCTGGAACTGGGCTGACGTGAGTCGCCAGCGACAGCATAGGCTGCAGCCCCTGTGGCAGTGGGTTGCCATTGGCTACCGTATGTAGCCAG